CCTGTAAACAGAAGCACATCCCTAGAAAAGATACATAAAGGGAGAAAATGAAGACAGGTTGACAAATGGATTGATTGGTAGATAACTTCCCCTCTAATGGATGAGGAGATGATGTCTAAATGAACAAATATTTTTTACTCCAGCCATTCTGCATACTTGCAGGTTGGTTTTGGTTTCTGAATATATCCAGATGTCATTAAGCAAAAGACACACAGCATAAACAACCATGAATGTACACACTTATACTTTAGGGCAATTCAGACCAATTAACCAAACAGACAGGATTTAAAGTCTTGCAGGAAAACCACAGACTGGGATCCAAAAACCTTGTTGCTGCAAAGCATCTGTGCTAGGGAGGAACTGATTCATATGCTTGCTGTATCCCAGCTTACCGCTGATATTCATCTGATTTTAGCTATCAGACTTTTTAAATTTATTAATACAAAAAAAATGCATAAGAAACCATTAAAAACACCAAGTACACTGTCTAAAAAAACCTGGAGAGGAATTTAACTTTTTTGCCTTATTTTATTGTTAACAGAACACCCTAGCGGTAGATGTGTGTAATTACAGTTGGGGGAGATGCAAATATCTTTGCCATCATGTTTAATATTTTCATTTGTAAGACCAGATTTCTTTATAATCTGATCAGTCCTTCATCTCCTTTCTCATATGAGTTTGTTTACCTCAATGTGATGTTTTCTTTTTTCCTGTTATTTTGAGGTTGGAGAGGGACTGTGATGGGCGTTGCCCCGGCAACTGTAAGTGCCATGGTGACACATTTTGGTTGTCGGCACAGCGACATTGTGGTGGCGGTGGGACCATCTGTGGGGGTGTGCTGCTTCGTGCTGGACAAAGAGCAGGCGGCAGACTTTATCACCCTGCATCCAGACTGTGTACCTGATCCAGAGTCAGCTAAACCGCACGTGGACATCCGCCTCGCCAACAGGTACGAATCAGAAAATGGGCATTTTGTTAGGACTGTATGTGCCAGCAGTTATAGTGGGAGGATCTGTGGTGTGAAGTTAATTTGATCATTGAAAATAAAAACGCAGTTTTGAATATTATTTTTAAAGTATTTTAAGTTATGAAGGACCTAGAAAATATACAGAATCTGATTAGAAACCTTCTCCTTATTCTAAAATGGTGACTGACGGTCAGTGTTCCCTCATTTCCAGAGTTCTCCTGGAGAAATGTGGCATCCTCCCAGAGAACATCCATGACAACATGGTGGCGGACCGGCCCTCTGTGACGCCCTGTACCTCCTGCAATCCAGATGACTTCTTCTCCCACGTCAGAGACGGGGTCAACTTTGGCACTCAAGTGGGCTTTTTGTGGATCAAAGAGACCAAAGGACAGGATGGAGATCCAGGGAGCCAGACAATCGGAAAGGAAGGATCCTAAACAAACAAAAACACTGCAGCCGCAGTCTCCTTTGACTCTAACATGATGGATTCATGTTCCAGTAGCGAGTAAAGGGAATCTGACTTTATCCTTTGAAAACCTGCAGAGCAGGAAAACCCAGTAACCTTGGCCAGGCTTTGTTGCCATGAATTGTTGGTAACATCAGAGCAGTTTGGCTTAGAAGGCTGCTTCTTCTGGTGTGATTTTGAATCTAACCACAGAAAACTTTACAGCTGCTTGTTGAACCATTTTGCCAAAAAATCCAAATTAAGTTTTTTTTTTTTTCTAGCCATTATTGTGGCTTATATTTAGAGTTTCCTTTGCCAGCAACAAGCATATAAATGTGTCCCTCCATTGTTTTCAGTTTTCATGATTCTGAAAGCTTGCTGGTCCAGCGTCCATTGCTCCACTTAGTTACTATTACAGTTGTGTAGAAAAGTTCAACCTACTGACATATTGGGATCTGCAGCTCTCTCACTGCTGCCTTAGGACAGAAAGTCAGTAGATCATGTTATCGCTTTCAATTTGTCATCATCATATCCTCAATTTGTGCAGGGTTTATACAGGAATGAGTAACTCTAATTTAATGCTTTTTAATGCACTTAGAAATCATTTTAATGCCATCATCAAGTACCCATGACTCTATCTATCTATCTATCTATCTATCTATCTATCTATCTATCTATCTATCTATCTATCTATCTATCTATCTATCTATCTATCTATCTATC